TGTTGGCATTTAAATAAAAATAAACATGCCAAATGGTTAGAAATACTTTGAAACACTTTTAAGCATCATTACATTAGCAAATTTTTCTCTGCGCTATGCAGAAAAGCAACAAAGAGGGGCAAGGGGCTGGGCGAGTGCGGGTGTGGTGCTGTGGGGCAGAGTGAGGAGATTTAGCTGCAGAATACACAAAAGGAAAATGTGAGCAAAAGAGATTTTTCGGGCGAAATTGTGGGCGTGACTCCAGCTACTTCTTTGCAATTTTATTACATTTGAAAACGGTCTGTGTGTGTGTTGGGGGTAGTGTGAGTGGGCGTGTCCAGCCATAACAACGTTGAACTAAAGCACACATTATGGCCACCTTTTTCGTTTTGGCTAGCGCCAACTTTAGCATTTTCTAATTTACATTTAACACAAATGTAATTATTGACAAAAGGCAAAATGCTCTGACAACATATGCAGCACCACCGAAGCAGCCAGCACCACAAACGTTGGTTTCTATGTAATTGTCGTTATAATAAATAACTTCAACTGTCCAACACTTGACACTTGACATCAACTGCAACGGAAGCGAACACACAAAAAACTACCAGAATGAGCGAATATCAATTGGCAAACACTTTTTGCATATACCCTGTAAAATTGATAAAGCTTGAGGGTTAACAATTTGCTGTAGCTGTAATAATATATGTATGTATGTATATATATTCAAAACTATATAACATATCAATTAACTAATATCTAAATACAATGTGCAAGGAAACAATTGAAGGTAAACTAAATAATTAATAATAAAAACAGTTGAAATAAATGATTAATTAAATAAAAAAAATGTAACATAAATATTCTCCTTTAGAAAGAAATTTTATTATTTTTTATTATTTTTTTAATTTATTATTATCATTAATCATCATCATTATGTATTTAAAAATATATTTATTTGCTTACTTAGGAATAAGGATTTTTATATTAAATAAACTATGTGCACTAAATAAAATATTTAAAATCTAAAGGTTCAAAAAAAAAATATATAAAATTAAAAGCATTAAAACAACATAATACATAACATAACTTTTAAAATAATTTTTATTTAGTTTAGTAGCTAACATGAATACCTCATAGTAAAATATTTTGAAAAAGATATGAGAATAAAATTTGAACAAAATTTACATAATAATTTATTTAATATAGGTTTATGAAATTGAAAAAAGTAATATAAAAATCGAAACTCTTAAGTTTTTGCATTAAACAACAATAATAATAATTATTTATTGAATATTGGTTTACGAAATTGAAAAAAGTAATATAAAAATCGAAACTCTTAAGTTTTTGCATTAGGCAAAATACCTCCTTCATTAGGAATCCCTATGTAAATATATGTTTCAAAAAAGTTTGCTGAAAATAATGTCTATTAAGGCAAGGGCAATAGTGAATGCGTATACTCCTGCTTCTGCTCCGGCACAGGGTATTAAACCACCAAACTCAACTGGACTTTGCCTCAACCGCATGCAAAGCGCCAGAAAAACAGCGTCGCATATTTCAAACGGGACACATGTAAAAATGCTGAAGCGCTGATAAGGACATTAACATTTGCACAAACACATGATAGAGTTGTGGGGAGGACTAATGGGGAATGCTACGGTTCTTTTCTCTCTCTCTTTTTCTCGAAACTTTGAATTCGTATGCGAAACATCAAAAAAAAACGTTACCGCGTCGCTTTTGACACGCAAATTTATAACAGCAGAAACTTGTTGTGGTGCCAACAGCAGCAAAAAAAACCCACCGAACCACACGAAAATAAGAATGAAACACAAATAAGTGAAATAAGAGTGGAAAATATAGGTATAAATAAAAAGGTAGCAAATTTTTGAACGCATACAAATGCAATTTAAATTTACTTATTTAGAAGCCCACGGGAATTCCAAATTATTTGCCTTTTCACGCAAATTTAGCGACCATTTTTCTCCAAAAAGCAGCTGGCCTGGCCTCCCTTTTTTTTAGACAGGTGGGCACCAAATTGTTTGAGTTTACATAGTTAAGGCGCGAGGGAGTGGCACCCTCTGACATGTGCTGCACAAGTTTTTCGGCTGAGTTTTTGGACGATTAGAAAATGCTTGAGAGCCAAAGTAAAACCAAAAGGCTCTGACAAATGCCCAGACTGGCAATTGTTAATGTTGTTGTTGTTGTTGTTGTTGCTCCTGTGGTGATTAATGACGTCGAATGCTGTATAAGCAGACAGCGGGGGACGTGCAAGCGGTGCCGCCAGTCCTGGCAGCTTAATTTAAAATGAAAATTGTACTTAATTTCTAGCGTAGCTTAGCAGGCGAGCTGGGTCGAAGCCGGCTAGAAGCTGTGGGAGGAGCAGCAAAGACAGCTGCTGTTTGCTTAACAAGCGAGACAGAGAACGACGCAGCGATAGAGGAGGTTAAGGGAAGGGAGGCACAGAGTGAGAGCTTATAGAAAAGCCATTCGGTAACTCGACTGCCCTCGAGCAGAGCTAGCTCATTGTCTGGCTAGGTTGCGAACTCTAAGGCTCTATTTATAGCGCTTTGCACATAATTCAAGCATTAAGCACATAGTACATCATTTACTCTGATAAATATGAAATATGAGATTAATAGTGTTGGTTTCTAAATAAGAAGGCTTATTTAAGGAGTTTATCATATTTTAGAAATATATCCGCAAACTATTAGATAAATTATAGAGTTAGATAAATTGTATAACGCAAATATGGATAATAGCAAATATATATATATAAATATATATATTTATACAACACATAGATGTGAGATGTGGAATATCAGATATGTGGAAAGGAGCTGTAATAATAATGAAAATGTTAAGATGTTGCCTGAGCTCGGCAAACCCTTTCATGATTTATCTATACTCTGCTCTCTAAAGGGCAAAATTGGACCTCTTGCATAAATAATTGTGAGTAAAAATTAAGAATTGATCGAGCCTCAAAACATGTGTGGAAAAAGTTTGTTCGAGATACCCCATCTATGTGATTAGTGATAATAGTTAGAAGATTGAACAGATGTCGATCAAATTTCATGAATATTTATGAGTTCGCCTTTTTAATGGTATTAAAATATACTTTCAAATCCAGAATTTAAAATTTAGTTAAGCTGAGCTGTGCTAGAGATGCAAACTCTAAATTTTATTTAAAAGCTTTTATTTGTTATATTTTGCATTTATGAACTTTCCATTTATTCATGCTTAAATATCTTATCAGCTATTGAATCTTAACTTCTTTTCTTTCTTTGCTTCAATTTTTAGTTCCAAAGAATAAGTAATAATCCAATATGGAGTATTCAAATAGTAATATATATACGCTACATACAATTTTATTTTATTTGCCTTGAGCATATATAATTTTATTAGTATATATTTCTTATATTATTTTCTTACATTTAGTATATTGATTTATAATCGATTTCTAATTGAGTTTCAATATTCAGAGCTCTCAGCTGAAGTTTTATTTCTGGCTCAAATTAACGCACTGTCAAATTGCGGCAAACATATGTCACTTTCCTGTGTACATATGTAAATTTAGATATGTATATGTATGTGTGTTTGTAGAGACATTTTCTACCTGACTTTTGACTTATAAATTTTGAAGTTTGCTTGGCGAACCGCAGGCAAATTGAATTAAGATTTGCCACGTGAGGATTTCAAAGAATTTACACAAAGTCAAACCAGCTTTAGTTTATTATTATTGTTTGGCTGTTTGGGTGGACGGGGCATGCAAGGTGGTTGGGTGGCTCGGGGATTCAGTGGTTGCTTGTTGGCAATTTTCAATCGCAATCTTTTCGTTTTATTTTTTGTTGTTTTTGGTTTATTTCTTTGGCGCAAAAGCTACTTTATTTTGACAGCAGACAAACAAATGTCAGAATTGAAATTAAAAGGAAGCCAACGACAGGCAGACGAGTGCGGGAAAAACTTGGTGGAAAACATGAAGAAGGAGCAGCAGCAGCAGCAGCAGCTAGAAGTGGCAGCCGCATTACGCAGCAGCGACAGCTCTCTCTCTCTCTTTCTCTCTCTTGCACACTCTTTTTCTTGCTCGCTGGCAGAGCTCTTCTGCAACAACACCCACACGCATTGCTCTGCTGACTTTCTTGCATTCCCGTATTTGCTTTGGTTTTGCTCTGTCTGTGTGTGTATGCGCGTGTGTATGTGTCTTTTTTGTTGTTTTTGTACATTTCACACAGCGTGAAATTTTCTAAATGTCATTTTGCTGTCATCTCGTGGATAATAAGATTACAACTACGTTGAAATAATAGGATTCAAATGAAAAAACTTTGCCGTCGTCTGTCTTTTACTTCAGCTACAGCTTCCACTTCTTCGTTTTCTTTGACTTTTCCTCGCGCGTCTCAACTTTCAATACGACTTACACCTCGTGCCTCAGATATATATCTCGCAAACTCCCCTCCACTCGAAAATGTGGGCGCGTGTTGGCAAAGTACAAAGTTTTCATTTGGTCTCGCTGATTGAGTAGTGCGATAATGATTAAGCAGCTGCCAAGTAAGTACACAAAAAAAAAAACAAAAAAACAAGAAAAAACGAAGAAAATTAAAAACAAATACAAACCAAACATGAATTGGTAAAAGCAGACTTATTGATCTTGAGACCACGCTTCAGACATCTGAATAATGCCCCGGCTGTCGGTCTGCATGCATAATTGATTCGATCGTTCGTCTTTAATGAGCCAACGCAAGACTCTAAGCAAAAAATAGGTTTGCTTTCATAGAGCTCGCCCGCAGGCTAGAAGTCAGAAAGTACTTGTCGTAATGCCAAAAAAAAAACGAACATGAAATGGATATAAAAACAAAGTACCCAAAAAAGTGACAGCTTGGGTAGATCACAGCCGCAGGCCCATTAAAATGAAAAAAAGTTAAAAAAATAAATAAATAAAAACCGGCTTAAACTACCGCAAAATTCGACTATAAAAGCTCAACGCAATGCCTCACAAAACATCAGAACTTCTTCAGCGTTCTAACAATTCACATCTAAAGAAAAAAACAATTTATAAAAATGAATCCCATTTTTGTGATCGCTCTGAGTGCCGTCTTCATGACGCTGGCTGTGGCAACTGTAAGTACAAATTATAAAATTGAATAAAAAAAATATAAGGGGAAAAAGTAAATTATATATATATATATATATATATATGAGCAGACTTTAAAGCTGTTATAATAGGATTATTTGTAGACAGAAAATAAAGAGAAAAACAGTAATTTAATAAAAAAAGATTTGAAGAAAGAGAGAAAAGTACAGTATTAAGGTACAGCTGTATCATGATCTAATTGTAGCAGAAATGTGTAGGTATACAACAAGCAAGTACAGCTGGAAAGGTATAACAAAACATTGCTCACAAATAATGAAAAATACAAGAAAATAAAGAAGAAAAAAATAAAATAATTGCTAGGGAAAAAGTGTATAAAAGAATAAAGTTCAATTAATAAGAAAGGAAAGTCAGATCAAAGAGAAGATTTATTTTAAGAGAATTGTATTCATAGTCTACCAATCAAATCTCAATTTACAGCCCGTTGAGCTAACCGACGAGCAAAAAGGTTTGATCAAACAGTACGTCGACCAGTGCACCAAGGATGTCAATCTGACCGAAGAGGAGATTGCCAAGGTGAAGGCCAAGGACTTCAAGAACCCCAGCGAGAATATCAAATGCTTTGCCAACTGCTTCTACGAAAAGGTGGGCACCCTTAAGGACGGCGTCGTCCAAGATGAGGTTGTGCTCAAGAAGCTGGGCGCCATCATTGGCGAGGAAAAGACCCGCGAGGCTCTGGCCAAATGCAGCAGCATCAAGGGCGACAACAACTGTGATACGGCCAACAAATTGTACGAATGCTTCGAATCGTTCAAGCCCATCGAGATTAAGGCTTAAAGCCACATTTTGTTCACATGCTGACAAATTGTAATTAATTTATGCTTGCATTGAAAAACAATAATAATAACTCTGTATCGTAATAGATAAAACAAAACGTTGTCTATATATATATGTGTGTGTGCATGTGTGTGTATTAGTTAACTAGTTGAACATAGTCACATGCGAAAAGCACTTCTGACGTTGTGGGTTTTGCTGTGATAGTTGCTTATGCTACAGCTGCAACTTTTTTGCCTTACAATGTAGTGAAAATGGAATGTCTCTCTAATAATATATTTTGCAGAAGTGTTCCCATGTCAACTAAAAGATCAACTAAACTTCTTTAGCATATTTCCGAATAGATCTCATTAGAACATAGTAGAAAAGCGTTTCTGTATCTATAATAACTAGTTATTTGGCCTTCAAATAATAGCTAAAACAATCTTTACGCATTTCATTAATTTCGCAGTGTTGGCTAAAAATTGTTTCTCTGCGCAGTTGGGTATTCTTTGTAATGCGTCACAGTTTGTCACAGCTTAATTGCAGCTTTGCTGGCCTCTGGACTGGGCATAAGCCAGCAGCTTAAATGGATTATGTATACATATTGCTACATATATACAACTACTATATCGATGAGAGTGTGTGTGAGTGTGCGTGTGCGTGTGTGTTGGCTCATTTGCCATTTTCAATTTGCATAATTAAATGCACAATGCACGTGCCCCAACCACCCACGATTATGCGGCAAATGCGTTAATATTGTAAAATAACTTTATTATTTAACGGATTTCACTGCGTGATTGCCGCGCTGGTCGCTTGTCATTTACGTAAAGTGCATTCGACCCTTGCTGTTCCCCTCCTGCTCTGTTTAAGCTGCGAGTGCCTTTGACATGCAGACCTCCAAGTTATTGACAGTTTCGCAGCTGTTGGCGCCTTTTTTCGCGGTTGTGCCACATTCAGTCAACTTGGCCTTGATATTGTCCACCGGCACCTTGAAGCGTGCCTTGGAAAATTTCACAATATTCTCATTGTTGGCCTTGCCATCTGCGAGCATCAGACCCAGTTTCTTGTATAGACATTCGTGAAAGCATTTGTACGCATCGGATGGATTGGCGACTTCCTTGTGGGCTGCGATTTGTGTCGCCTCGGCAGCCGGCACTTTCAGCTCTTTGATGCACTCCTGCTGCTTCGCCGCATAGGCAGCCATTTCAGCAGCACTCTGCGACTGTGTAGGAAAAGCGTCTATAAAACTAGCTCAAAGTCCGTGCATATATTGCTGACTTACCACAACCAGCTCATAGAGAGAGCACACGATAAAAACTTGCACAAAAATGTTAACTTTCATTTTGCTTCGCTCTTGGTAGACTGATATTCGTCAGCTCTTTCAGGCTGCTTAAATAGTCCAGGGGTCAGAGTTATTGTACCGAAATATTGAAAAATTATTTTAATTAAATTATTAAATTTAAATTTCATTTAATTTCTGCTGGTTATAGCTGTTAGCCTAGCATTAAAATTGTTTTTCCCGCATGGGGTTATTGTTTTACCTAAAAAATATTGACATATGTCTATACAACCTGATTATTATAATTATATTTTTGATTAGATCTATGTTTAAATATATATATTTTTTAATAATGTGTGATACTTTTTATAGATTTAACTCGCTTTTGTTACATAAATTTCCATTATATTTATTTTATATCCAAATAAATGTATCAGAAAGAATACAAGTTCTTTTATATTGAAGAGTACATATGTATATATTTAACATTTTATATTTATTTATTTCTATTTTTACATATGTTGTATATGAGGTAAGCTTAAATGTTAATTTAATATCATCAGAATATTCACTCTTTCTACAAATTGCAATTACCAATAGAAGAATACAAATTTTTTCATATATACGATACCTTTAAAGTATCTATATAAGGAGTACTATTTTTAACCTACCCAAAAGCAGTTCCAATTTTTAGCACAACTAACCCAAGTCTCAAAGCATTTTACATAACTCTATTAAAGACAAAACTCTGTTAATTAGCTGTTAATTAGCTTACCAAAACTGTTATTAACATTTATATGTAAGCTGAGAATAACATATTCTACATTATGTTCTCTACATTCTCGTACGCAACACACATTTGCTTTAGAGCACTGTTAATAACATTATTATGCTAAATAACATTTATTTGCAATTTTTTACAAGTTCTAAGCAAGTCAACTGCCGCCTAAAACTATGCTATCTATAGTATATTAGGAATAAAAAAAAAATGAAGCTATGCCTGAAAGCACGTCACATATATTGATATAAAAAATATTATTGCATATTACACACACACACACATATATATATATAGATATATATATATTTATTTATATGTGCGATATATATATTTATATAAAGTACAATATAGTTTATAAAATATTATGCCGTTGCGTCGCTAATGCGCTGCATCGCATCAATGATCTCATTGGCTTTGTCAGTTGCAGTCGCCACATTCCCGATTTCGTTCTCATTCTCGTTTTCGTTCTCGTTCTCCTCGGTGTCCTTCTGATCACTGCTAGTTTCGCTACGTTCAAGCATCTCGCGCAGTCGCTGCTCGGTGTCCAGATTCTTGAGATGATTGTAGCACAAATGCAGCTTGTAGGTAGCCTCACAGCGATTCCGGCTATTCATATTCTTGCACTCCTTCAGCTCCGGCTTCAGACGTTGCATTAGATTATCCAATTGCATTTTAAAGGCCTCCTCCAGCATCATGTCGTAGTGCACTATGCCCAGACTCTCATACAAGCAACGCACAAAGCACTGCAGTGGCTCGTTTCGCTTGATGTCCAGATAGGGGCCGGTGTTGCTATAGTCAATATCGGCCACATTATTGCCGGCATTCAGCTCTGCATCCCCATCGGCAGGAGCAGCGGCCAACTCGTTCTCTGAGTTGCTATTATCATTGAAGAGCAGGCTAAGCCGAAAGAATTTCAACTGCGACATGGATATCTCCGTCTCCCGCATGCAGGACTGTAGCAACTCCTGGTTGAGCTTCGATTGCTGCCTTGCCACCTTCGGTTCATCCCAAACGCTGCGCGTCAGGGACATGTTCAGCGACACAGAGACAGACCGTGCCTAGACAGAGAGAAAGAAAGCATATTCCAACTGATCTCAGCTAAGAGCTCAAGTTTCATCTTACCCAGGCTGGATTCAGACATAGGCACTGCGCCAACAACAACAGGGTGACTCGAGTATACATTTAAAGTAATGTAGATCCACTTTGTATTTGATTTTACTTTATTGGAGCACTGGGAAACGTGTTCAACTATATATGAAACTGACGTGCGCGCTGTCTGACCTTATATATAAGGTCCAGTTTTTGTGGATAAATGATATTTAATAGCTGCAACTCACTTTAATATTCACACGCCTGACTAGACGCTGATCGCAAATGGATCTCTTGTGGGCAGAGCTCAGCTAATTATATATACATATATAGTATCACGAATTTCATGCTATATGCTTTAAATTTTTTTGCTCTCATTTTTAGTTTTTTTTATAAATTATTGTACAGATTTTAATGGCTGCGATGAGTCCAGCTTATTTTGTTAGATAAACAACATTTAAAAGGACACGCGTCAGTGCGCAGCTATATATATTATATATTATAAGCCACATTTATAGCCGAAAAGATGACATATACGAATATATATATTAAAAATAGACTTAATGCTAAATATTTGTTTTTACGTTATTTAAATACTGCAAATAATTTGATACTTATTATAATTATTTAAGAAGTTTTTTTCTAACATAAATAAATATATGAAGATTAAAATCGCGTGACTTTTTGAAATTATATTTTAAGAAATACTATTAAAAATGATGAATTAATTAATTTAAATAAAAAATCTATAAAATTCACACAACACTTAAATGACTTCTCATTTAATTAATTAATTCCAATAATTTCATTATTATCTTCAAGAATTTTTTAATAAATTGTATTGTTTCTTCAGCAGCAGGAAAATTGTGATTTACTCTTCATTCAATTACTTAGCTTCGCGAATTCCTTTGGCAATTACTCAAGAAATGCGTAAAATCGGAGATATTTATTAACTCGAATCTCGCTCAGCTAAATGTATTGGTCTTAAAAGCAATACCTAATTGATGAACTCGACAAGAGACGTGTGCTGATTATCTGGAACAGGAAACAGCTACAGGACCTGGTCGCCAGACACATGTATGTCTTTAAGATCAAAGTAAAGACAGCTGAACTGAACTGTCAATGCCACAATGCCAATGTATATATATATATAACAACCCCCAGAGCGGAGTTTTTATAAAATTAAATTACATTAATGTGAGAACCACAGGCAGCCAATCCATGAACCCCATGCCAAGGCAGACTCATTGAGCCAACTAACAAGGCGTACAGGACAAGCGAAATAAGAAAAGTTGCCCGGTCTGAAATGCTCAGCCTGGCTGTCGCTGTGCCAGTCTGTCTATCTCGCTGGCTGGCTGTCTGTCCGTCCGCCTGTCTCCATGTCTCGCTGACTGTCAAGACAAAGGCTAGAGCAGCATCAATGTGTTTGTCCCTTTGGCAGCGTCCACAGAGCACGCGTGTTGGGTTTTCTTTGACAAGCCGCCAGCGCAGAAACCACGAGCTGTCTACTTAAATGCATTAGCTGGACAGCAGGAGGCGGGGTGAGTGGGCGGAGTGGGTGTGGCAGAGGGTGCTTTTTAATAGACATTAGTAAACGCATCAGTGATTATGCCAAGGCTTTTGTGCAGACAACTGCAACTGAAACGGATGCTAAATGGAAGTGGCAGGACAGCTCGTACTGCCAGGAAGTGACAAAATGAATTATAGACGCCAAGCTAAGCCCGACTATCAGTCAGCCTTTCAGTCAGTCAGCCAGTCAGCCAGTCAGCTGACTGGCGCCCAGCTAATGGTCGCCAAATTCCCCAAGCATTTGTCCTTTCTATGCTAACAGTAACTGAACGTATTCACGCAGCTTGCAACCCTATAAAAAGTGTCTCCACATCCCCCAATCGAAACTCTGCACACACCTCACTGACCCACTGGCAATTGCAATTGCGCCACGTGCTCAATGAATGTTTAATGATTTGTTAATTGGATTTTGGCTTTTGAACAACAGCAACAACAACAACAACAGCGACAACAATAAAAGGTCAAGCCCTCAGCTTGTGCCTATTCGTTTGTAGCAAGCATTACGCATACGTCGTGTGGGCCGCACTTTGTAAAAAATAAAGAATGGTAAAATAAAAGCTAAGCAAAGCGAAATCGAAAGTTTTTCAAGCGACGCTCATCAATATTTATGCATTTGAATAAACGTGCAAATACCTAAGGGACGAAGGGACTTAACGTCTGATGGGGGTCTGACAGTTGCCATCTAATGATCCCCAACTGTTATGCAAATGTTCTATAAAATATGCTTTTAACTCACATTCCCAGTAAATTCTAGCCAAGAAACAATATTAAATATTTGTACAAATTAACAGGGTTTCTTCTGGTAATTATATTAATAACAATTATTATTTAACTCAGATTCGAGTTAAGCTTTTCATTAATTTGTATACCTTCATCCAGTAAGTGTGGGAAATCAGAGTGTAAACTCAGAGTTTTGTTGAAAATGTACCGAATAGACAGAAAAAGGCGTGGCAGACCCCATAAAGTATATATATTGTTTATCGTGGCTAAATGTCCGTCTGTCTAGAAACCTGATATTATACATTTATATTGCTTCATTCCACACACATCACAAGTCTATCATTGTTTATCGATACCGCATTTCCTTGTTATCGATAGTCAGAAATCTATTTTTTATATAGTTTGATGATAAGATTGAATATTATAGAAGATGGGAACGTACAATTTACTGTTGCGGTTTCTAAAATGAAAACAGTGATACAGATTTATATTTACCTCAAATTCGCATAAATATATAAATATATATATATATATATATATATATATATATATATATATATATATATATATATGCATATATATATATGTATATATATATAAATATATAAAAATATCTTTATATTTTATTTATTGTATTATGTTCAACTGAGAAATATATTGTATTAAGTTTGCAATTTTCGTTAGTTAATAATAATGAACACTTAAATATCTATATTTGGTATATTCATCCATGCTTAAAATTATATTAATATTTTATAAAGTATGGAAATAGTATTTGATAGGGCTTGAACTAATTTTTACTTTGGTGTAATCTTTTTAAAATATGATGCTACTAAATCCGAATTCAAATAAGACCAATCATCAAATAATATTACTTCGTTTTCCTCGTAGCACTTGGCTAACAGGTTGGCAAAATCACATTTGTCTATTAATCTTTTAGAATCGCATTTGGCCTGTGCCGCCTTTACCGTATTCAAGCCGGCGATGGGTGCCATTACTTGGAGCACCGTATCGGCATCGATCTCGCCATCGATGAAAAAGCCAATATTCTCCATAAAACAGTAGGGAAAGCAACGGTAATTGAGAATATTGGTAAAGCCCAAGGGCAGGCATGTTCTGGCAGCTTGGTCCCTCAGAGTTGGCGGTAGCTTGGGATTCTGGAAAGGCTATTGCTTAAATGACTTGGCTTTAGTTATAACTACACAATGCTTACACAGGCTGCACTGAAAGCTAAACAGTTTAATAAAATAAATACAAAAATCATAATTTTCGATGTTTAAACTTTTGCAACTGAAATTTTCTGCTTACTGTTCTTTGCTGGTGTCGCAGGTATTGCTTTTATAGCACGAACACATATAACGCATTAGCTATGCAATTCGTTCCATTATTAATTTGCTTAAGAAATTTCAAGTATTTAGAATATCAAGTGTATTTATATATATAGTCTTTGGTTCATTTATATAGAGACATTGATATATTTCGTAATATCTTAACTATCGATAGTTGATAATCGATATTATAGTCTTACGACACGTGAGCACATGTTGCTGTAGGCCTTAACTAGTTGGGCCTGTCAGCTAGTACATACAGCTTACATTATGGCTTCTTCCAATCAATTTCGTTTCGGACTCCCCTGCGGTCTAGTTGGGATGCGGTCGTAGACGTAGTTGTGCTGCGATTTGGTTTAAATGTGCTGTCAGAATGTGCATCTGCGAATCGCTAGATCCTTATATAGAACAAAGTTCTCAGTGAATCAGTCGAGTCCAGTTTATCTTCAAAGAGCGTTATTTTACATAATTTGAATTTTATTGGCGCCTCTATGGTGCTCACCATAGAGGATTGGATTTGCTTTTTGAAGATAGTTTGCTGGAGGCTCTTAGCATCAAATCCAGTTTTTTCTTTTGGCTTAGCATGCTTTGGTCTTGGTAAGAATCCCAGGGACACATCCGGTCAGTCACCTATTCTAGTAAAGACTCTTGAAAATTGTTTTTAATTTCAAATGCTCGAAATTATATTTATTTTTTAGGAAGCTCAGATTTATTTATTTACATTCATTTTATATACACATTCATTTTGCTGTCGGCTGCTTTCCACATTCTAGCTGATAGTTCACAAATACTTCTGGTTACGTTATACTTGGTGCTGGATTTGAGTTGATTTAGATCTGGGTATTCTGCTTGTAGTAGCACTGATACAACTGGAAGGCAGTATCGCATTTATCGGTGCCCTTCAACGAATCGCACTTTTCCTGGGCTGCCTTGACCTTTTCCACGCCCACAATCGGGCCTATCTTCTCCAAGACGACATCGGGCTTGATCTGGCCATCGACCAAAAAGCCGGACTTCTCCAGGAAGCAGTTGGCAAAGCACTTGACCTTATCATCCACATTCTCAAATTTGCCCTCACGCAGAGCCATGGCCTGCTCCTTGGCGACTCCCTCCTGCTCAATGCAGGCGCCAGCATTGGCCTTTGCCCGGGCCTTCTGCTCGTCCGTCAGCTGCACCTGCTATACACAATTAATTAGCAGATGTACAAACTCCTTACTCACACCTTTAGCACTTACATCGGCAGCGACCAGAGCTACGATGGCAACGAGTACGATAAGATATTTCATGATGTATTTGGTTGTATCTGCTTTTTGCACTGCTTGCTTGATTCATCGTGCGATACGCTTTTATATCATTTTACTTGACGAACTTTGCCCACATTTCGATTCGGCTTCGTTGTTCTCTTTCGCTCTCCCCTATTTGTCTGTCTCTCTCTCTCTATCGCTTTTTATAGCTCGCTGATCACAAGAGAGTTATCAAATGTGTCGAAGTAGTTTATTTAATTCGCGCTTTGTTGATGATGCTTAGCCTCTGTGTCACGTTCTAAGCGCTTCTGTCTCTCGCTCTCTCCTTCTCTCTATAAAGATTTAAAGTTTTCATTAATTTTATAATCATTTTTTATTTTTGCACTTTACGTGCTGTAATCTGACGACCTTTGCAATTATTGCTGCGAGTGATTTACCCAGCTTTATTGTTCGCATTGCGAACTGTTAATTGTTTATTGTAATTTGTAAAATTAACATTAATGTTAATTTGATGTGTTTTTTGAGCAACTGTAAGTGCCGTTGAGTGCAGCGATGCAGCAAGTTTAGAGGCTTACTTTTTCGATATTATTTGTGTACCCATTATTCAGGGCTAATTCGCCCAATCGGCCAGCCTAATGAGACATAATAACGTGCAGCGCATACACAAAAACGAAAATATATATTTTAGGCATGTTTTTAATAATTTATTATACTAAATGTGGCATATGTAATCATTCATAATTTAATTTTTTATTATATTAAATTAAGTGAATTAAGGTAAAAATAACAAATGTTTGACCAAAAAATATCTAGTAGCAAAAGTTCTCTATAGAATAAATATATAGATTAAAGACGAAATGTAATTCAAGCTTGTTATTGAAATAAAAAAACGAAATTTCTTTTATCTGTATTTCATACAGTTGCTTTGGTTATTAGACTAATTGTTATACGATGAAGTCCATCGATAACTATCGCTTTAGATCGAAGCACTATTTGCACCTTCATAATATATTATATAAATAGTTAAGCCTCTAGCAAATCTTTACTTTTAGTAAAAACACCTTAAATTACATTACAGTAAATTGTAGCTTTAGAAGAAAATGTGTTAAATATACTTCTAAAAATATATAAATATATATATTATAAATACAATTAAAATCACAATTAAACAATACACTAGCAGAGATTAATATTGATAATCTGAATTAGTTATCAATTATTGATGACTATGAATATAAATATATGTATGAATGAGCCTTTCACTACACTTTCCTAAATAAAGGTCGCAATACACAGCTGTGGTTGACAGAACATATGTAGAGAAAGTAAACTTTGCACACTTGCATATATTTAACATTTTTTTCTTACAATGTATAACATTTGAACTATCTTAATTAGCTCCTGCACTTTGTTAAAGTATCATTTAATAAAAAATTCACAACTTTAACAATCGCCTCAGTTAAGCTATAAACAATTTAATGATAATTGCTGTTTGCTGTTTGATGAGCTAAGCTTGCCAGCCTTGCTTGTGTATGACAGCTCAAAGGCTGCAATCTTCCGATAATATCTAGCTAATAATCAGTCTATATACATCCAATTATCTTACAGCTATTCGATTCATATGTCTAGGTACATTTCCATAATTAACCCACTCGAAATGAGATGCGACAGATTCGCTTGAACAGTCTCCAAACTGTTATATATTTAAACATACCGGTTTCTAATTGATTAATAATTAGCTGTGCGGGCTGGGGCCAGCGCTATATGTGATTGATCTCAATTCGAATCGGTGTCTGATGCCAAAGTCCGCGGACAGAACGCGCTCGAAATATGCCGAAGTCCAAATGCCAAAACTGGTTTGCCAAAAAGCCAAAAAAAAAACTATCTGCGGAGTCACTCCATAGCCACATTCAGGCAATTAAAAAAGTCCATTTAAATCATTATACGATGGGCATTTAGTGTGTCTGGAACCGAATGGTTCAAAGATTATATTTTATCTCTTTTTTTCTATTTTGGGTATTTTCCGAGCAACTCGTGCAACAAATAACGTTATATCGCATATATTACAAATATTTACTGCTGACAGCATCGATAATTCATGACCTACTCAAACTACCTTTAACAGTGCAACCAAAAACTTACCCAGACAAACTCATAAATAGTTACGCACGCCAACCAACCAAAAAACAAAAAACAATTCAACAATAATAAAACTAAAGAAAGGGAAAAACAAAATGTCAGAGCTCTGGCAACGCTTATTGGGTGCCATCGTCGCCTGCCAAAGCCATAACAAATATAAAATATTTAAATAGTAATAAATTCATAATGTCAACGTGTTGTTGCTGTAACTGCCATAGATTTATAGACAATAATAACGACAAACACGAAACGCGCCTTCCACTACCAAAGACAAATATATATATATGAATATATATGTATATAAACTTTGCAGGAACCTGTGACTTAAGTAGCTAAAAAACAAATATATCACAATGAAAACATTTCAACTTTCTGATACTCTGTTAACAGGGGAAAGTCTTCTCATTAGTTAGCTAATATTCAATTCCAATTGGGAAAGTTACGAATGAAATGAAAGTCCTTAAGACAAGCAAAATGTTTTATCTTCCACGAGAGTTTTCTTTCTAAATAGTAAAACAGTTTTTTAAAGTGCTCTAAGTAATATAAAAATATAATAAACAAAAAAACAAGCTCAGAAAATTTAAGTTGAAGAAGATTAAGAGCATCAAATTCTTTGAAGATGTAAGCCAAAATCCATCGATCCGCATTTAAAATATATAAATATATAAAAAATACATCTCATAACCTATTAAATCCATCTCTATTACCTTGACAAATAGGGTATAAAAAGCAAAAACAAAAGTTTCTGCAAAAAAAAAACCAAACTAGATAATATGATGGAAATGGCAACGTTTTATAACTTCATATAAGAAAATAATAAAATTCTTTTATTGTAGACATGATAGACTGTTAGTGCAAAGGGCTGGGGGCCATCAGCGAGATATACCTTACATATACATATACATATACACTGTATTAAATACTATATGGCATGCCATAAAAATATAAACAGCACATAAAACGACTATGAAAACAATGGCACACGTTACACTACAGGACGAGAAAGGAAGAAAAAGAGAAAGCGAGAGAGAGGGGAGGGAGAAAGTCCTGCTAGCTAATGAAATGTCATTGGACCCAGGCGGGGCTGAGACGCGACTCGGGATGTCAAGCTAAACTGAAATGCAAATGTCACGCGAAAAACTATTTGACGACAACATTACGTTGACATTATAATGCGATATGACCAAAAGAATATACGGCCCAAGAGACCCAGCCAAACACACACACAGAGCCACTACCTGTAGTGAAACGTCCCAAAATGTGCTGAAAGCTGAAGCTATGCTAAGTATTCGCAGTCATATGCAAATTTTATTAGCTACTTCTTTATGGCGAGTCATGCAAATAAATTTATTAACTATGAAAATTAAAAGTAATGTGGAGAAACCAATTATAAAAAAGTAAAGAATCGTAAAGTTAAATTACGGTCATTAAGCTAAGAATAATACAAATGCAATAACATTTAATTTTGCAATAAAAAAGGCTAGACCTATTAATATAAAGTAATAATAAATATATATAAAACTTAAAATAAATATAATATATAATATTGATTATAAAACTATCTTTCAGAATAAAACTCTTAGTAATATTATATTTATACATACCTCATTTATTGTTGATACCTCAAAAATTATGTTTATTTAACTAAATTTGTAATGCAAATACTAAAATTAAAAGTTTCTATGAAAATGTATTTCAAGCAAAAAGAAAAAAGTATTAGATATTTCACATTAAATTAAGTTTTGTATAAATATAAATATAAGAAATATAAGAAAAAAACTAATTTTATATTATTGTTAATATTATTATGTATTATTAAAATAAATTAATTCACATAAAAATATAAGGCAATGGAAAATATAATAACTTAGATGTGTACCTGTGAATAAAATTAAAAATACAAAACAAAAATTATTTACAAATATAAAAAACAATTCATAAATATTTATCAACCTTATTTTAAATGCATACTGTAAAGAAAACAATTATTTAAGCTTATGTTATTTATATTATTTAATGATAAATTTAGGTTAACGAAATCTTTAATAGCCAAATGGCCCATATATCATTTATTACTGTCACGTTGCATGGGCGCTTGATCTCTGTGCCGGACGAAAAACAAAAATGCCTACAGAAATTCAATTAGGCTTATCCCGTGCAACAACAGCAGTAGTAACGACAACAACAACACCAAAGAACAGCAGGTAAAACAGCTGCAACACCTGCGCAATTAATTAGTATTTGCCGCATTAATTTCACAAAAAACTCGGGAGCCTCGCATAAAGTCCACAAACCCACAAAATTGAATGGGAGAAAGGGCGCCTAGGCACCAGACTAATAAATTCACAAATGGGCCCGAGCATCCGCATCAGCACGAGCTCTGTAAAAGGCTTATCTAAGCCAGAAACTCAGCTTTTGGGGCTACGCAATTAGAGCGAAAATGTGCGCCAAAGTCAGCAACGGGCCAAACAAACCACTAAAACACTAAAGCAGCCAAATCAAATAAAGCAAATTCACTTAATTTAAATTATAATTAAGGCCAGCCAACGGGACAGAGCTCTGCGTTTGCTGATGCGAAGATAAAATGAGCTTTGAAGTGGGAACTGCGTGGTTCGCTCTAAATGTGACCTACATCTTAGTGGACCTTTAATTCGGAAACAACTTTAAAGAGAATCTCTATAGAAAAAAGTTAGAGTAAGGCGGATCACAGCTACTGCGAATGCGAATGTTTAAATAATGACGGTCATATTTTCTTATAATATATGTATATTCTATAAACTTGTTTTACAATTGATATTTTAGTAACATATAATAAAAATTAAAAGTATAACTAGAATTTCAAGTCTGTTAATTAAAGACCATATTCAACAACGGTTTGACACTTTGTTGCCAGGTAAAATATTGTTTAAGCTCAGTTTGTACTTGAGTCTTCTTCACAACAGAAT